AAAAGACATGTAAGAAAGTATTTTAACGTCAGAAGAACCAATCTAAGTATTCTTTGTATTTATATAACGTTTAGAAGTAGATAGAAATTTCTTGTGCTTTCGAAAAATGTCTAGATTTTTAGTAGAATAATGACGCTTACCTTGAAGGAGAAAACAAATCGTCCATTTCTATAGAAGCCCTGTCAAAGTAAAAATGATAGTAATATTAATGGAAAAATGAAGCTATTAGGGAAGTTAGTCTATCACTTCGATATTGACTGCATCGTACTACCATAAGTATGATGTAGGAGAAGTAGCTATGTGGTATGTACCGTATACTGGATCCAATGTACTATTTCGAGATTTAAGATGATTTACTGTAAAATTTTCTGTTTAAAATGATCAGATTGAATAATCGCTTACCTCATCAGGCAATATCGTCAATTTAAAATTTAATAAATCATCAGGATTGGGGAAATCAATCTTACAAGTTTTTGGCAATGTCAATTCATTAACATCTGTACAGGCAAAAAAATAACTATTTTATTAGCTTGTAACTGTCGTTTCGCTAGGAAGGCAATCCAGTTTAGATTCTTGCGAAGCAATATTAGATATTTTGAATAAAGCAACAGATACAGTCAATAGTAATAGGATCGACAGTGAGAGAAGTTATGCAATGTCTATAGGCGAGAAAATATTAGTACAATAATATAAATCCAGTATTCAATTTGCTCACTGAAGGGTCAGATATGTCCCAGTTGGAAAATGCTCTGGTATTCTATATTAGGCGCGATCGAAAAACTACTGTATTCCCATCTACAGATCGACACTATGACGTATTAACGCTTAGATTGTAACTAAGGCTTGTGCCTTCTACAAGTTTTGAATTAGTATCACCTTCCCATCGATTGCTTTAATATATATATATATATACTGTATGCATAAAAGAGCTATGCTTATGTCTGAGCTAGACTGCGTATCCCGTCTCAAGATCGATACTTTGAGCTATTAACATTTTCGATTGTAACTAGAGCTTACACATTTTACAAGTTTTGTATAGAACGCTTTCAATCATGAATTGCTTTAATCTACGCGTCGATGCATACCATAGAAGAGCTATGTTGATGCCCACTTTTATCGCTATAATATCATGGTATCCAAGCTGGTAGTCATGATTGAATTCACGTACAATTTATTGCATAGTTACATTATTTTAAGACTTTCTAAGTCATGGAAGATTAGCTAATCGTGTAATACTACTAGGGCAGAGTTAAGCAGAACATCCCTCTGGAGATGGAAGATTGATCTATGGTTAATCATTCATTATTATCGCTGTAAGAAAGGAATCAATTACGAACTGTCGAGCTAAAATTGCTTCCATCATGCGAGTTATGTCAGTGTAGTACAGTATACCATTATACTCATGCAATGATTATAATTAAGAATGAATTGTTGTCACTCTAAACCAGATTGATCGTCTACTCTGTGATCTACATGGAAAGATATTACAAATTGTATCATATCCTATTGCATTATGAGAAGTATTTTGGATGGATTGTATTATCAACTTTGGCTACATTAAGATGAATGTTGTATAAGTTAACAGTGCGCAGTAACGTCCTATAGGTCCTGTACAGTACAGTGATGTCATACAGTATAGTGAGTTGTCAGAATAGTCGAAAGGAAGGCGGTCATCATTTTGTAGAAAATGATGACATTGGCAATTATTTTAGTTCAGAAGACAGTAATATGGCTGATTAAAGACCTATTTAAACATAGCGATAGGCCATCATTGATGAAAAAGTATGAAGAGGATAAATGAGTTTCTTTGATTGAAGATGATGAAAACATTTTTACCTTTGGTAATTCGAAGTTGGGCTGCCGAGGCGCGTTTTCGATTTGTATTGCCTCCCTTAGCTTCTTCTTCCTTTTTTTGCTGTTTAATAGAAAACAAATTGATCATGATGATTTTCTCTGGTTTCAATTGGAGGTGATGCACTTCGTAAATCAAGCTACAAGCTGTGATAATAAGTTTGTCAACGTGGATAGAATGACGAATGATCGCAAGCTTGCAAGGGGGAAGCAATTGATTTCTGAGAACAATTTCGATCAAATTGGGCACAAGTGGATGAGCCAAAAGACCGATGAAAGGGCCTTGAGTGATAGTACTGTACTCTACAGTGGGTCGTACTGTGTAAGATCGTACTGTAGACTGTGTACGTTGTACAGTGTACAGTACAGTAAAGTACAGTGTATAGTACTGTAAACAGTAGGCTACAGTACAGTACTGTACAGTAGTGTACTGTACTGTACCGTTGGTACTGTAGGTCTATCGATTGATAGTTTATCTAATGTTATCTTGAAATGATGTTTTCATATTGATAGCAAACTTGTCTACTAAGTTGGTCTTAAAATTCGATTTTCATGTCATTTCAATCGCCGGGAATTCTTGATGAGCCACCCTTGTACAGTACTATAGGCTAAGTACTCCGTACAGTGTACAGTATGTTGGTAGTCCATCGATTGATAGTTTGTTTAATTTGGTCTTAAAATGATGTTTTCATATTGTTAGCAAACTTGTCTAATTTGGTCTTAAAATTCGAGTTTCATGTCATTTCAATCGCCGGGAATTCTTGATGAGCCACCCTTGTCCAGTACTGTACTCACTGTACGGTGTGTTTATTTTGTTTTCAGATTGCCCAAATCCTACTTAATATAGTCTGCTTAACCTTAATTGATGAACAAGATTCTGCAAACAAATAAACACACTCAGTACAGTACTGTACAGTACTGCACTGTACTGTGACCATACTGTACACTGTACAGTACACTTTTACAATGTACTGTACTGTAGTGGGACCATACTGTACACTGTACACTGTACGCAGTACAGTACAGTACAGTACTGTACAGTACACTTGTACAATGTACTGTACAGTAGTATGACCATACAGTACAGTACTACAGTACAGTACTGAACACTACTGTACAGTACAGTACACTTGTACAATGTACAGTACACTGTACTGTACTGTAGTGAGACTATACTGTACACTGTACAGTACTGTACTGTACACTGTACACTGTAAAGTTGTACTGTATCGTACTGCAGTACTGTACTGTACAGTACAGTAGAGTAATAACTCAAGCTGTTAAGTAGTAGCAGTACTACAGTATGGTAAAAATGGAACGGCAAGATAAGCTATCGGATATCCATTGTCCATGGTATACTGTGCTGTACAGTACTATCAAGAATTGGAGGCACACAATAATAGACAAAGCAGTTGATCATTATCCAATATAAATCATGTTTGAATGACTTCTACCAGTAAACTCTTTTCAAAGCTCAGATAAAACTAGTTGTCGAAAGTAGCAACTTCAAAGTCTATCGACTTTGCTGTACCTACTAACTTTACCAAGTGCGTATCCTTAACCGACAAGTACCAACACGTATTTCATGTAGGAAGACAAACGATGCCAAGAATACTTTGAACGCAAGTCAATTAATTCACTCAAGTCGTTGCCAATATTCCAATAGTGCTCTCCCATAATCCTCATCTCCACAAGACTATGGCACTTTTTGTAAGTTTTCAACCAAAGTTCCTAATTAAAGATGATAGTATGACGTGCTCAGTTAGTGGTTACTAGTTGAAGTAGACCACCACATTATCAATAACTCAACCATCATGCAGTACAACAAAACTGAATTGAGTCTAGTCGCGTATATTCGTATTATTAAAATTGTTAGAAACAACATAAACACAGCTATTACGCAAATCCGTGTTGCTGCTAAGTCGATGCTGTCGCCAACAAACCGTAAAACTATTAGCATAGTTGTGCTTAGGTATGATAGTCTTTTCAATAGTAAACCTAATTTAGATAAAATGAATGCTATTGGCTCACTCTAATTTCAAATTTACTGTCAGATAGTAATACTCGTGCTCTAATTTGCCTGTATACATTATTGTAACTTACTAATCAATATGTTACTCTAGTATATTCAAACGTTTACTGCTCAATACTTCTTTTTATACCAAAAATAAACTGCCTGCATACCAAATAGCTAACGTTGCTACTGTGTATAATACAGTAGCATAACAAACCTGTTGCACTATTGCCCTCATGCTGAAATAAATCTGACGAGCATTTGCAGGGACTTCTAAATTGAAAGAATGAAGCATAATCAATAGAGATACTCTTCTAAACCTAACTTTAGAGTTGCGCCTTAAATACAACCTGCATAGTTTATGCCGTAACTACTGCACTTTTAAAGACCTTCGCATCATCTTTGAACTACAAAATTAACTTAGATTGCATTGATACATAATTGATTTATATATCATTGACAGTGGTCTCTTTAGCATGTTTCTACTTTTTACTTACTAATAGCGACGTCATGGCCAGTGTTGAGTAAATAAAAGACGTTATGCCTACAAAACACTGGTCATGCATGACCTGTAAACAGGCTTTCAAGTTGTATAGGAATATATTGATGTCAATAAAGATCTTTCAACTCAAATTGATTGATTCGTGTACATGCATGTACAGAGGCTTAGGTGCTTGTCCAAAGGTGGATCACACAATATTAACACTTTACGGGACAATAATACTGTGGCCGATTTATGTAATCACATCTATAAAATAACAGGAATAATGGCCCAGGATCAAAAAAGTATGGTATTATTCATGTTATGAATTATATTATATTATTATCACATATTAAATTAGAACGATCAGGACATAAGTCATTAGAATACCCGATCACATACATCCTAAAATGATAGTTTATATTGATACATTTCAAAACGAAATCAATTAAATATTTCAACATTTTAATTGGATATTTTTATCAAAATGAATGTTGCGCAACGCAATCCTGGGTTACAGTTCTTTATGGGTATCCTAGAGAGCAATTAGACCTATCAAGACCTGAGCAATTACTCAAGACGTTACCCATCTCCAGTGGTGATAGGATATATATTGAATTCCAACAAAATACAACTCCACCAAGAAATGAAAATTCTACCGATCAAAGTAAGAAGCCTCCTAGTTATAGTCAGAGTATAGGGATAAGCGACGCCAAAGAGGATCAATGCAATTTACAAAAAAGTGAAATACCCTTATGGATATTTCAAAGAAGGTAGACTTGCAATTTTCTTTTTGAAACTGGGTTACAGTAAAACGCATACGTATGTAGCACTTTTCTGTTATGCTCTATTACTTGATACTATCTTTAGTGTTTTCAGTCAGATATAGTTTATTAATATAGTTCATAATTTGAAGTAGGAGTATACTGAGTACTAAGTTAATGCAATAATAAGGAAGAAATGTTAACATCATTCCTCGTTATATCTTGATAAGGCAAGTTCCTGCAGATAATTCGTGCCTCTTTAGCAGTATCAGGTACAGCTAACTTGACTTTGCTTCTAGTTTTGCTATACGATTGCATGCATCTCAGATGGCTATCTATAAAATATAATTCTTAGTGACGATAATATGTACAGATCATCGCTTTATCATGTGTATTAATATTTTCTTGTTATATATCTTGCAATTTTAATTCGGTATAAATTGATACCTCTTAAATCATTAGCTATTTATTAACAAGTAACCTGCAGACAGTCGAAGAATTACGCTCACTAATTTCCGAAGTTGTACAACGCTATCCCAAGCTTTACACGGAAGCATTTCTCGGTGTAGAACCCTCCGAGTATTCCAGATGGATTATGCTCTCAACATCATGGGGAGGAGGAATTGAGATTGCGATATTAAGCGAGCATTTCCAAGTAGAAATATGCGTAGTAGATACCGTTAATATCAGGATCGATAGATTCGGTATGTAATATACTTCTTTTATGACTTTTCGTAAAGCATAACTTCTTTCTTAATAGCTAAATAAAATCATAAACTTATATCTATGTATGTATGTATTAGGGCAGTGAAGTCATAGTTTGCATCATGCTGCTTTTTATTTTCGTATGCAGGAGAAGACAAAAATTACCAGCATCGAATTTTCCTAATTTATGACGGTTCACACTATGATTCACTTGAGCTTGTTGACATGGCCAATCCTAATACCTCGGCAAAACAAAAATTTTCAACAAACGACGACAATCTGATACCATTAGCACTGGAATTAGCCAACGAAGTCAAATTGGTAAAGCGGAAGTAGAATTAATCTTTTCTTATTACATCATCTTATTTTCTATTAGAATTACTATACTCAAGTTACTTTTTAAGTTAACATTGCAACTAATCTAAACAATATGACAATTGCTGTAATTTCTCAATTTTTAGAATCGTCAAAACACGTATGCTGGCAATTACGCCTTAAGGTGTTCCTACTGTTATAAGCAATTAACTGGCGTATACGATGCTCAACAACATACAAAGCTTACTGGTCATACTAATTTTGAAGAGTATGAATAGCCGTTTTATTCATTACTGTATATTTTTTTGTATCATTTTATTCATGACGTATATTGAACTGTGGCTATTTATTTTAAAATGGCTTACTTTACTATACAAGGTAACGACATCATATATTGTTAGCTATTAACAATATTTTAAGATTAGAACTGTGCAGTATTAATATACTTCGATTTATTGGACGTTCCTTGAACATCGTTTTGATAAATATAAATAAGCTCTTAATTTCCGACACTGTACCGGTTAATTTGCTAATGTATAATTGTAATTTTCAGACAGGAAGGTAAACAATAAGTATATCAATGCGGCACTACAACTGTTTATGACATAGAACATTTGCTGTAATTAATTAAATGAAATTGATAACCTTGATAAGTGTGATAACAACTTTAGTCGAGGAATAACTGATTGCATTACAGCTTAGCTGTAGCTTTGATATGTAAGAAAATACAAAGTCAGCTTATTAGTATATGCGTACAAATTATTGAAATAAAAGAAATTGGCAAATAATGTACAGTAGCGAGAAATATTATCGACACTGTAAATACTCAATGCCAAAATGAAAGACTATATAACGACATTGAGAAATTTGCAATAGGCGAATACTACTAAAAACAACTTAAGTTTATGTCCATTCATATTAATATAGTCACCGTGTAAGCAACTCTTGCAATAAATCTGTAAGGCAGGATATTAAACCGTAATGTGCTTTATATCGCTCACCAAAACCTAAATAATGACATATTCAAACAATAACCAATAGTTTTAAAAGTTGTATTTCAAAATTAATTCAATTTTAATTTATTGAAATTTTATAAAAACGATAGTCTATTAAGTACACTTAACCTTTATTCCAGTCATTTACAGGGAACGCATTGATGGCGATCTCATGTCGAAAATAACGAAATAATGCTCTAATAAATAGCTTATACTTGTCAGGCAATTCTTGCTCAATTTTCTTCAGTAATTTTAATAGCCTATATCAAATAATTGCACAATCATTTCAGTATTGCATCGATTCAGACTAATTCAATTTTAGTAACATTAGTATCTATAAAATACCAGGTTCTACAACATCTTTCTGGTGCTACATTTTCCCACAATATAATTATCAGCGAAATAACCAAACCGCACACTTCCTCTAATCGGCCACATGACAGTTTTGTTGTTAAGTATGTAGTATATACTTGCTCACCACCATACAACAATATTAGTGGCAAATAATTTTCAAGCCATACTTCCGAAGCTATATGATAAAGCATTAATTCAGAAATACAGTTATACCATGTAATAGAGGATATATCAGCGCACATACTATAACTGGATATTTTAGTGTCGAAAAGTCATAAACTTTCAACATTGATGGCATGAAACTTAAGTTAACCTGCTTCACGAAGGTCCCATAATATACTAATCCAGTCGTCATCTTTAAATTTATGATTATCATCGTCAGCCGTTAGCTTCAGACATTTGAATACTTCACCAAATGCCACGGCTTCATCCGTTTGGATTTGCCATTCTGAAGAAATATGGCCAATATCTAGGGAAATTTACTCGAGAGTATATTATGGTTAAATTTATCTTTACTATTATACACGCTTTATCAGCGTCCGAATTTATATACTGACATCAAGGGGACAAGTTTAATCAATATATAGTTAAATATGACGATAATATTGAATACTACCGGCACGTCATAAATCATCGGTTCTTATTTGTAGAATTTACCTTTTAATAAGATTGGTGAAGCATATAACATATATATCAAACGAGCTTGAATAAAAATTGGCCACGGTTTCAGAGCAATTGATAAACGTATTCCTCGCTCAATATTTCGGTACCGATCAAGGAAAATATCGCGAAAGAAATGCCTTATATGAAAGATTTCATGATTCTCATTTTTAATGGCAACAGGAAATTTCAGATTAAAAAGTGTCGATTTAATCTTGTTATGGAAGTAGTCGTATTCGAGAATGTACTCATATGCACTCAGTTTATCTTCCTGTGGCCACATTGATGTAAATTTATCAATAAACTTTGCACAGGCGATGTAAAAGAAGCAATTGTGATCACTTGCATAATGGCAAAGTATTTCCGTAAAGGTGGAAACCTACAATATAATAATAGGGCTGTGGTAGTATGGTAGTAGTAATAAAAGTAATAGGTAGGCAGACGAAGTACTGTTGTTATAAACTCAAATAAGAGACCATAGTATACCATTATAAACCAGCATGGAATATTTAGACAGTTATATTACTATCGTATATCTACAGCATCACCTGGAATATGTTATTACATTAGGATTAATGATAATGCTCGTTTAATCGTTATCATAACATCAATAAAATTAGTTGATGATTCTAGTACTGTATTACGCATTTTTTCGATTAATTTACGCTCTCTAATAGTTATACTGCGCTTCAAGATAGTACAACTATAGATTTTGTTTTGATTGCAATTGAAAAAATTCTACGTATACGACTATGTATAGCTGTTTAAAGCAATTTATGCCTTACAAGTATTTTCAGTACGTAGGCTAGCAACTTATATCTTTCCTTCTGTTGAAAATTGGAAGAAGCTACTGCCCAAGTTTTACCTATTAAATTATTTTGGGACACAAATTTTGATGTAAAATAAATTTCACGGTAATAATTGATTAATGAAACAATGTTGAAGAAAAATTTGTGCTGTTACGGTGTAAAACTTAAATTTTATACTGTATTTATCTAACTGCAAATTATTGTATATAGCATAACTACACGAATCAAAAATACTTCGATATCAAATAATATAATGAAGTAATACATACAGGGAAATGCAGTATTTCTCGACTGTTATTGGAGGGTTGGCAAGAAGTAAATAATTCTTGACAAATTTAATCAACGAGTTTTAGATTACAGATCGAAATTTGTGTAATTTAGTAACTGTAAGAACTTGTAGCTATTATCAAAATTTTAAGAAGAAATATTCTCAAAATTGAAGTTAAAATTTCACGACAGATTCACTGTATAGAGTAATTTTATTATCTGTGAATGGACACATGTGGAAACTTTTCAATGGCAGACAGATACGCGTATAGAGTGGGTAAATTGATTACGGTGTCTTTTGTTGGCAGTAGTAAACTAGTAATGATTTGATACAATAACCTCAATCAATCGTAAATTATACAGAACGCCAGATTGGAGAGGTAGAGTACAGCATAATAATCCTTTCAAAATACACAAGCGTTTGTTTCATGTTACTCCAATGGTATTAAATCACTAAAACAGTAACATCGGTATCCAATTTGAAGTATTGTTCAAGTTATAATTATTATGAAGATTGTGATATTGCAAGACTGGTGGGAATGATTTGGTTATAATTGGTTTAAAATAGACTTTCATCTCTTAATTGCTTCAATGTAACAATAACTGATTGAGTAAAAACGAATGCGTCGTATAAGGGGTTTGCGACAATGAAGAGTTTGACACTAGCGAAGGTTAGGGCAACTTGAATACGTCAGGTGAGACTGTATTGCACTTGACGCTACAAGTATTGTAGCATGAACTCTTCGTAACCTATGGTATTTTCATTTTCTGCAATGATTTGCAATGAATGTACTAAATGACGATATCTTAGAGCAGGATGCAGTAGTCCTCAAATTTGATTACTAGTATTCATTGAATAAAATAGAGATATGAAACTTGTAAATCATTCGTATTGGACTTTTAAACTTACCTAAAGCATCATAAAGTGTATTTAGTTTGGTTTGCATTTTAAATCTGGATCGTAATCGAGTTATTGCAGTGCAGTTGACAGTGATTTTTTGCTTGTCTTCAGTTGTACATTTTAGCAATGAAAGGTTAAATATCTTCTTAATGACAGTTGTACGCTTCAAATAACCTAAAGTCCATATGTCGAATGGATTGGACGCCGAGGCGAAAGTTTGTAAGTCATCGACAGTTAAAAAATCCAAGATATAGTGAAGTATTTCCAAGGGCAGACGCTCAAAGAGGTAAATCTCACTTCTTTGGCTACAAATTGGAAAAGAGAAACTATTTGTCTCTTTGCGATATCGAGATAGGCATGTTGTAGAAATGGAATCACTTGGTCCTTCCAAAGGGCGTTTTAATTTCCTTGCATTCTTACGCATTGGATATTTTCTCTTTGTCATTGTGTCTTTCGTCAATGAAGTAGAACTCTTTCAGAGCATCAATAAGCGGACGGAAATGATTTAATTCTTACTGCGGTCCAAATTGTGCTGAAGGGACGCTATGCCCTTGTCCTGTGGCTTCCAAAGAAATGAAGCAAGTCATCATTGGCGCGCATTGATATCAAATGGACGCATTTCATACTCTGCACAGTCTGCAGGTCTTGTACATTGGATTGGTCAACTCACTACACGTGTACTGCGTGTCATTAGTCCTGTGTCAAACGTCCGGTTGGTGTAGCCGCAATATTGATCCAAGGAAAATGGCAGTCGAGTGAAGCGCAGCGGATGATTTCGTTGACGTGAAGCTCGTCAACACACGTCATAACAGAGAGACGTCATCTAATTTGTGTCACTACAGCGTGGTTGAAGTTTCATGATGTCGTACAGTGCGATCGTTTGTTCTTATTGTACCAAAGCACTTCATCGACTTTCAATAGCCATAGCAACGAGATAATTTGTGTCTAAAAATTGGCAAATTCCTGAATTGCAGAAGTCTCTTACGGATATTGAATTTTAATTTAATTTTCCTAGGTGCTACTGATGGCACCTGTGATGGATTTGGTAGGAAGCAGCAAAAGTAGAGTTGAAGAAAAGTTATTTATTATCTCTGTTAGCAAACGACTAAGACAAGGCCTAGCAAGAGATTTAAAAATTGATTTCCATAAAATGTTCGTCGCGTATACAGTATGCGAGAAATGGTAGACGATGCCCGATTCAACCTGCATCATTGACGATTTCCGGCCACGATACGAGAGCTATACAGGAGTTTGTAGACGTAGGCACAAAGCAAATTATCAATTTGATTTATTTTATCTCCAGGGCAATAGAACTAAGTATATGGACTACTCATTGACCGAATATTATTACATCGTATGACCTTCGTTAAATTAAGTTTTGCGATTTAGGTATCCACTGTGCTCCCCTGGCCAGCCAATGTACACGATGTCCAACTCAAGTTGAGATCATCTGCACGTTCAAAAAATAAGAGATTTAAAGTGGCATATGCAAAAATTTCAATTATTGTTAGATGCATACGTATATACTGTACTGTCCATGTATACGTTAATTAAACAATAGTTAATATAATATATAGCTATAATTAATTATAAACATCCCAACAATTGGATGCGTATCCCAAGCCAGGTTAAGCCTGACGGGGAAACAGTGTTGGGGTAATTGCTTTGCGGGTGTACTGCCTAGTTAATAGGACATCGCTATAAAATCTTTCTTGGCTCATATCAAGTTTTACAACATAGTAAAGGAATCCCCACCAAATAATTCATTTTACACTTTTAAGTTTACCGTTTACTTAAAGTTCTACCGTAGCAGTACAACATTGACTTAATATCGGCGTCATTCAATACAAATAAATTTTGATGTCATTACGCTACTCTCAGCGATCGTTTAACATTCATTTTCAATTTTCGATTACTCATTCACAAATATAAATATAGCAAGTTTAATCACGGCTTAATTACCCTAAACTGTGCGATGTTTTTTTTTATTTAGTACTGTACAGTTCTCATATTCGATTTTCCTAAACGTACAAACATAATGGAGCCAATTTATCATATTGAATCGAATATATTTATTATCGTATTTTACAACATGTAAATCTTGTTCAATATAGACAGTAGTATGGGTATACACTATAAAGTAAATGTGCATTGAACCTACATCAATTCGTGTACTTTACGATGCCCGGTTTCGGAGGAGGTTTGACGAGAACTTTGTACCTCTTTCGGTGTTTGGCTGGCTGGTCACCGTATTAGGTCCAATTAATAATGACCGTTGAACTAAGAATCCACTAGGTAGTGTTGTACCGTTGTTTTCATCAAATTTACAATGTATTCAGTTGAAAGATGAAGTAAGCAAGTAAGAAGTGATGAAACTGTCAACCTGAATATTCTAGGTTGCTTTCCCGTCTATGGCGAGATATTAACGAATGTCTTCAATCGGATTTCAGAGTGAATGAGAAGGATGTTGCAAAATACTACTATGCACTGCATAGTATCGCATACTGTGCTTTATATTACTCTACAGTAGTTCAGTATACGAAGAAGCAAACAGTTCGAGACGAGTCCGCAAGTTGGGCAATTCCCGAAATGCTATAGATTCAATCGTATGAGTTGATTACCCTTATTTATGCCATGACATACAGAACCAAAAATGCTGATTTGAGCAATGACAATACTGAAAGTAATGCTTTAATTTTACGAAATTCTTACCTTTACTTCCCTTAACATCATACAAAGTGAGAAAAACTTCCTTAAATAATGACAATCCCCCAAAGATTGTTTCAATCTTGCGAAATTGCTGCCCTTATTTATGTCATCATAGACAGTGGAAAAGGTTACCTAGAATATGTTTTGCGTCACGAAATTACTGCCCTTAATTTATGTATACTAGTGCAAACTCCCGTCGCTTTGCTGACGGTTTACGATAATGTGCTCATTTAACAGATAGTATTACCATTTGATAGACCTGTCATACGGTGAAAATGGTTACTTCTAATGCTATGACTTTCATCTTTAATATCTGCGTTACGGTAATAAATGGAGATATTGAGTCGTAACAAAATGAGTAAAATTCATCAATCGCCTTATCAGTCAAATTATACTCTAAGATCGATGCACGATTGTTCTATATAGGACATCGAAATACCTTGAATATTATTTTGGCGTAGCTACTTTACAAATTAGGATCAATGCACGACTGTACTAGATGTGACAGCGAAATAGTTAGAATATTATTTCGGTGTAGCTGCTTTACTAATGGAAACTTACATTGCTCAATTCGCCTTTTTCCATTGCATACGATGATCAATAAATAGAATAAATTTGCAAGATTTCGACATTTTTTCGAGCATTTTTTAACTTTGAGGATTTGACCACATCATACATAATATGCAGTAGATCATTAATAGAATAGGTAGTAGTATATCTCACGATCATGCCCTCCTTTCCCCGTAAAAGAGTGGGGAATTTATTAATGGTTGTAATGCAATATAATATTTCTAATCACTGGTATACAGTGTGTAGTGCAGTAGTGTACAAACCCTCCGAAACACATCCCTAACTCTCTCTTGCTTTTACACCATCGACGATAGGGCTGCTTACAGAATCTACAGTAAGGCTCCTAACACTTACAAGTCCAAACCACTATGGTCCGTCCCCATAGGTCCTAACATAGCTATCTATTAATATTTATTTTTTATTACCCATAACATACTCTACGCTGTACTATTCCCCTAGTTCACCCCCTAACCTTACAGTTCTAAATATAGTACTGTACTAATAAAGTAATTGCCGCTAAGTATGGCGTTATTTAAGTACAAGATGCATCAGATTCTATATTTGTTTATTGATACTAGCTCATTTACTCGATATCTGTATACAGGTATAAATGGGCTGTCGATGTTGGAGTTTGAAATAATTTTCAACGCTTAATTAGTGCTACAACGCAATATGCAAAATCTAAGGATGGAGCTACCTAAAGGCTACGAAGTTAGCTTTGTTGGCGATAATCTGAGTAAATATGAATGCGCAATATGCTGTTGTGCTCTGAAAGATCCAGTCCAGACTAGATGTGGACATCGATTTTGTAAGGAGTGTATCGAAGTTTATATTAGGTAAGGCAGAAAATACATTGATAAGATTGAATACGAGTATATCTAATCGTGCATTAGGCACACAGAGGAAGCTGGAGAGTTTTCTTTTCTTGTGCACAGTAATTATTGACTAGCAGTTTTTGAACAGGACAGTACTTGATCTGGTTAACAGTAATATTACTGTAAACATAATCATGTATTAAAAAATGGAAAAAACAAATACGACGTCAATCCATATGCACGATTACATAAAGACAAATAAAGTTCGAATCGATGAATTAAGATTCGTGAATAGAATTATTTACTCATAATACTTTTACTTTAACACATGAAATACTGCATGTTCAACTTATTTGTCAATTGTGACTGTAGCACGATAGAAAAGCATTAGTAGCAAATTATGATTTATTGCTGTTATTATCAATAAGAATTAATATAATCCTAATGAATTAAAATGCATCTGATCCTTTTATTTATTCCTTGTGCGTGTATATAGGCGAGGCGGTAAACATTGCCCAAATAACTGTCAGCCAATCGCCATTAATGAGCTATCGGTTGATAATGCAGCTAAACGTGAAGTTTTAAATTTGGATATTTATTGTCGAAATCGCCGTCTAGGTTGTCGTTGGACAGGTCCTCTAAGGGAATTAGAGGTATAAACGCGTTTTAAAAATTCTCTATGCATTTATCAACCATATGCTATTATCCTGGTAACTTAGCAGGCTATATTTTATGATTCATCGCTAAAAGTCCAACATCATCTAATTTAGTTTTAATCATCTTACAGAAACACATAAAAGATTGTCGTCCTGAAGAAGCCAAACGTAGTGTGCAACTTAATCCTCTTGAAAAGGTATATTGCACTTATCAATTCCTATGCTAAAAAAATCGAATGTAGCTGACGGCAACGTAGATCTTTCTTATCTGACAATATCTGTCATCAATGCATCTTAGAGTGAACTAGAGTTGCATCACTTTACTGATATTAAACGTTGTAGATTGGCTATTTCATATATTCCATAATTATAATTCATTATTGCAGCAATTGCTACCGGTATTATTACGAACTAAAATTATGCCATTAGCCGTCATTTCTAAAACGAGATTAGAAGCATCATGATAGTCATGAACTGATAACATTGCGCATTCATTTTATCTCTTTCCTAATGTAGACAAAGGATATTACTGCTAATATTGAGCAACAAATGCAAGCTGTCCATTTAACAAATGAAGATAACGATGCCCAAGAAGCCAAAGAAGAATCAAGACTTTGTGCTGAGTCTTCTGTACTTGCTAACTTCAAACATTTAGAGCAGAAATATGCTCAAATGGAAAAATACTTTCAATACAAATTACGTGAAATGAAAATTGATATAGAACGATTGCAAGAAGAATTAGTCGAAACAAAATCTAATTTAGCTTTAGTTAATCGTTTATCCTTAGCCAATGGTGACTTCATATGGGAAGTAAGAAATTTTAATGCATGTTTATCCGATGCAAGGTGTAATTTACGAGACTCAATGTACAGCGAGGCATTCTCGACAGGCAATCCTGGTTATAAACTGTGTGTCAGAGTTAATTTGGATGGTGTTGATGATCGTAGTAGAAATTATCTTTCAGTCTACGTTCATTTAATGCAAGGCGAATACGATAACGCAATGAAGTGGCCGTTTAACCGTCGAATTAAAATTTCTGTTCTTGATCGAAATCCAGTTCGCGGTGAACGAAGAAATATCACCGATATATTATCACCTCAACCTAACATTACTGCCCTTCAACGTCCAAAAGAATGGAAAAGTCCGCAAGGTTATGGTTTTGCTAAGTTTGTTAGCATTTCGCGACTGTCTTCTCGTTATTACTTGGCCGGTGACATTCTAGCTATCAGAATTCGAGTTTTAAGCTAGTGGGTTGTTGATCGGTGGCCACTTTGGGCTTGAAAATTAATTCTATCGACATGCAAATTTTAAAGTTTTTATCTTATTACGCTTGGTCTCTCTACAACTTGGCTGTTATAACGGCAGCCTTAGTAGTATTATCTTTAATCTTTAGAAACTATGAGCTGAGCTAATACTGATCAATGTTAACCACTTTGTTTCGACCTGTAAAATGTTCAGTTTTTAGTTATAAAGATCAAATGCTAATTAGCTCTGTAAAGTATAAAGTTTTATATGAAGGGTCTACTGTATTTAAATTTCTATGGTATATTTGTTTGAATAATATAATTTTATACCATCATATGGATTTCAAGCAGTTTTATTAATTTGGGTTGATGATAAAAAAAGTTCAATATTACTAAAAGGCAGCAAGTAATGGTCAGTGCCGATGAAGAAGTTCCACGCGAATGGAATATTTTACTATTTTACTATCGAGTTAGGCAACTAAATTTACCGAAGTGCTAATGTGGACAGTCAACAAACAACATCGATTGTAAACAGTCCAAAAAGATTAAAAGAAAATTTGCTAGATTTAATATTATTGATTAATAGAATTCCGGTGTTACAACCAAAAAAATATCGTCTTAAGTAAAGTAAAGGAGACTATAATGTCAAGAAATCTAAAAACGACAATATACAGTACAATATCACCGTTTGTTGAATTTAAAAGTGCAACAACACTAACTTACAGGTGTTTTAAAAAAAAACCTATTGTCTAAAGCGCAATACAGAACCAAGATCTACGTGGTCTTAAAGTAACATAATAACTAATTGTTGTACACGTGTACTAAAGATATAAGAATATTATCGACACGCGAAGTAAAAGTCTTGTTCTATAATAATTATATATTCCAAGAGATGTTAAATGCCACCAATAAGAGGAGTCTACGACATATATGGCTGTCAAATTAATGTAAACATAATAATTTATTTTTTTATGTAATTTTACTGGGAAAAAAAATAAGCAACATCAAAAGATTTCGTACTTTGAATAAAATTTAAAAATAAAAATATCAACTTACAAGGATAGTTCAGTTATGCTCTACGCGAGGCTCGCTTATCAAATCTTTGCTCCATTTCTTCCAAAACTGTTCAATTTTATGTTTGCAAAAAAAATAAATTAAGACTTCTTCTCCTATCATTCTATTGTATTTGAATGCACATAGTATAAGAGCACAGCGTCAAAATCAAAGAGATCTTTACTCACATTTTGGAGCATACTTGACTACGACGCTAATCTTGCCTGATGTATAACAAATAATTAGACAATAGAAAGTTGTAACACCTTTAATAAAAGTTTTATTGCATTACTTGGTAAAAAATTAAGATCGCTACTTTACCTTGCGCATTTTTCAGCATATTAACTGCTTTTTCATGATATTCGTTTTCAACGCTCTGTTGGGAATATAATAATGGTATCAGCCTATCTTTCGAGAATTACAGAATAGACTTGAATAAAAATGAGCTAAAGTTGTACTTACAGCTCCATTGATGGATAAGATTTGATCACCACGTTGTAATCTGCCATCTCTATATAATTTTATGCGCAACAGAAATAGCTATTATAAGAAATAGTACAATATACAAGAATTGTAAATATTAAGTAATACGTAAATTCACCTGTCTGCGATACCATTTGGTATAATTCTAGACACGTATATCTGAGAGTTTTGCTCCTTGCCACCCATAACGTTGAAACCTAAACCTTCTTCACCCTAATTTAAAACATATATCACATTATGCAATGTTTACTTCCTACACAATCGCCTCAATTTTGTACTTTTTTAGGCATGTCGAGCCAAGGTAGCAATCAAATAATTCGACCTAAAGTTTTATGCATTGTCTACCAACAGTTTATTCTAAGCTAACAATAAGTACTTCGGTGTAGTAGATATGTACATCCAAACATCTAAGCAATGTAAGAGCCCTGCTTACCTTATATAACTCCACAACACGTGGATGAGCATGGCCTTCGCTGGCTGCAAATGCAGCGACAGTAGCCTTGGCGGTAGCTTGGGCTGTAATCTCTTCATTTCCAGTGTTGATATCTACCGTGTCATATACGCTTTCGTACACCTAGTACGAAGTTATCAATACAGATTATAAGATTCTGATACTGTACCTAGATATACATATTAAAATACAGTCTGCTGTGTTTTTTTGCTACTCGATCTCGTTTCAATAACAACAGTAATCAAAATTGTGTTTTTGTAAATTGGTAGCAGTGGTTGATTCTTATAGAAAATTTATTATTAATATAGTACGAAGGTTTATACTTCATTTACCTCTCGAACAGTTTTACAGAAGTCGCTTTCTAAAACTTCTTTTAATTTCTGTAAATTCTCGGAAGGAATGCTTCTATCTGTTTATCGAGTGAATAGCTCATATCAATTTCGAACTATAAAATTTTACCACTAATCATATCATCTTGTTGAAGGTAAACTAGAATCTCATCAATTAACTCTGTTCATGATGTATAAATCATACTATCCTTTCGTACTAGAATCTATGATACACTATATACCAAGCACGGTGATTACGCTTTTGCAAAAGAGGCCATTCAAAACTTAACTTATAACGAGTTTTATGATTCAGTGAAGCTAGCTTAATCAACTGAATAATATCGAGCACCAACAAACTAATTCTTTCGAAGAGCCGATATTAGCACTTGCATAAGATATAGAATAACAGATATTCATATAGTCCCTATTAAGCTTTCACATAGTGCTATATAATCATGTCGGCGGTTAATGCTATGAATAAGTTGATTAAATTGAGCATCATTCTTTATTTAAATGCACTATGTAAAGCACATGTTAGCAACTATTAATCCTTAGCTATTGTACTTACGACTTGACAGCGCATCAATCAGTTGGATGGCTCTGTTAATATCTGCAAAAAAAATGGAATTGAAAAGTGAGTATATAAAGAATTTAACAATTACACTAGATTTTGAGGTCGATCGGTTGCCTTAGTAGTTATTATAGGATCTCAAATAAAACAATTAGGTTAATTTATTATGAAGACATAATGTTTTCTGTTTACAGAAGATAGTTCAATTTACTATTTTGTCCTGGATATTTTAATTGATATTAATATGGGTAAATATCAAATAAAATTGCAAACCCTAATTTTCAAGTCAGCATATCTGTATATATATATATAGTATTTATAATTTTTATATAGCAATCTCGTTGATGAATTACCGTTACTTTACAAGATTTTGGATCAAAGTTACGTCAATAAAATTACTATAACTTAGCTATTTCGCAGTACACATTAATATCTTAGTCCTTATCAATACTGATCGAGTTACGATCAAAAGCGAATAAATTAATTAAATACTTTAATAGCTTATACAGAGTCCTAACATCCTACCAAGTCGCATTATTTTCACTGAGATTTTAATGCTATCATGGTATTTGAAGCAAGAAGATACCGTGATATAAAAAGATTCCTGAACGATAGCAGATGTGAAAGTTATCTAAAGATGACTACGATATCTACTATCGTACGAGTGGTGCTACTCGTGAAACTTGTCAAAATTTTATGGTGCCTTCAATTTCGTCTAGATGTTATGCTGGTGCTGCATTTAACGGTTCATTTTGAACTATTCACAGATGCCTAGGCTTACGGATTTTTGTATTCCTTACAGTAAACTATATGCTGTGTATTGCGCTAACTAATCAGCATATCCCCAGGTTGTCTCCTGCATATCATGATGTCAAAAAGATGCAATAAACATTTATGTTAGCGAAGATCAATAGCCAGCGATATAACTGATAGTTTACTCAACCATTAAAGTTAATATTATCAAATACCCCATTAGTTTGTTATTATTAGTTTGGTTAATTTTACAAATTTCGAGCTGCATTTGCGTACATATGACAACTAATCGCAATGTGAAGGGAAACATCCTACAGCATCCGAAGTTAGTAAATGCACACCACATATCTCAACCCTTTCCCTTCTTTTCCATCCCATGCATATACGAAATAAAGCATCTATTCAATAATGATCATTTCAATCCCTGGCAAGTACGATAAACAAGGGTAATGTAAGTATCTGTTTAAAAATAAAAATAAAAAAATTTTGTCAACACTAAACCATTCGCTTGTCTGAATAATTGATAAAGGCCTTCTATTTGTGACTATTGTTGATATTAGAAGTTTAATGAAGGGGAACAATATCTAGTCGTATGTACTTTATCATTAATTATAGAGATTAAAATGATACCTACGTGCAGTTGTAATATTAAGCTAAATATTGTCAGTCTAAAAGTTATAGATACATGAGCTTATCGGTAGTTTGAAGGCGTACAGATCGATTGAACTGAAAACACAAATCTTAACATCTACATTGCATGCTAGATTCTATTTTCTGAATCGCTATCTGATATTGCATACAAGATAGAAATACTAAGGATCGATTCGGAAAGATCTTGAGAAATGTATTACTTTGCTTGTAATGTAAATAAATTGGAAAAGATATACGTAAAATGTATTGTTTTACCTTTAACATACATACCTTGTCACCAATCATAATTTCAATAGCGAACTATATTATAAATATTTTGTAGTGCTTCAGTTTTAGAATTTTATTTTCCTTTTACAGTTACTATTATTTTCAACAGTAATGTGCATCTACCGGTTAACTAAAATTGTATCCAGTTTTAATAGTCAAAAAATTGTGATTCGCGCAAACATGAGAGACAACACAAACTAAAGCATGTCAGGAAAAAATTTTTCTTTCATGATGATTATTTTCCTAGAAACTATTATAGAAAACTAGTGGACTGATCTATTTGCCGAACCATAAGTATACAAGAGATATGTTTCTCTTTTGTTGGCAAAAGAAAATGCCGGAACAATATTGTTTTAATGCGAACAAATAGATTACGATAAAAAATATGCATTTCTCTCAATTACTACATACTAATTGCTTCGTCTATGCTATTATGGAGATTGATAAAGTACTGAGCACTAGGTCAAAAGTTAGAAGAAGATTGCTTTGAAGACAATTGGCTATTTTTCTACAAGTAGGTTGCAGCTGGCATAATAAGGAGATTATACAGTCGGATACCACAGTTGGCATAACAAAAAACCACACATACGCGTATAATTAGTGTTACTTATTATCACATTATGCAAGAAAGCACTAAATATAACTATATCATAACTTAAATGCATCATAATACAGCTTTCAGGCACAGTATTAGTAATTTAGTGCTGTGTAGGGAAACTCTTTTTTAACGTATTTACCCAATAACAGAGACAAGTAGAAATTGCTAAGAAGTCCCTGCCAATAATAATATAGTGCACTTTAGTTACAACGCCAAATTATATAAAAACGATCGTAGACGAATATCCTATACATGATTCCCTAATAGCGACGCCTGGAATCAACTAAATCTGTCAAGGATGGAAATTGTACAACCATTGCTGACTAATATGTTTTGCACTAATATTGGTCGCTACCTATAATCACTTCAAAACTGTATTCGATAGAACTCCAAGTAACAGGATATACTATTAAAAATAATGTACAAAAGTGATCCCTTGCGCTTTCTTGATGCTGGGTGTATCAGGTTTTGCACAATTGCATCTTTTAGGAAATTGAATTTTTTTTATACAGAAAAAAAATTAATTACACCGACTTGGTCAAATTTAGCATCGTGTGTATTGGATTACAGTGAATATAATTTTGACCTGAGTATAAGTCTATCGAGCACTTGCAACGACTATCTTTATCGACGATAGATATGAATTGGTAATTCTTCGTTGGATAATAAATATTGACTATTAAAGTAGTGATTGTATCTAATAAGGATTTGCATGATCAATAACAGCTGGTAGGCACCGTTGTGCACCTGTTTAGCATCATCAATGTAACGATCATGCTGTAAGGTAAATAACCGCAAGCGAGTAGCTAATAAAAGTTGTCATCGAAAAATAACCCACATAAACTAGTTCATTACTAAGCTCACTATCCTATACAATAAGCTTGTTGACAACTTTTGTAAGAGAGCTCAATGGATTTATTTCCACAACTTTCAACTACTGGTGGAAGCTACAGTATTTCAAGTAGTTCCGAGTAGCACCGCTGCAAAGGCGATGGTATTGCATACAATAAGTAAGGGGGCATGTCGATCTAGTGATTTTGCAAAGGTTGCTTGATGCGATGCAGAAACAGTTGGAAGACATCCACAATATCAGTTCTTCTGCTTTTTTTTTTCTATCACGTTAAGGGATTTTTGATAAACTTCTCCAGCAAGATAGACAATAACTACGAAGTGCACCATGTGGAGAACAAGGCAAATAAGCTAATGAGGTGAAAATAGTTTAATCAACAGATCAGCTTTTCCTGAGACCAAATAGGGAAGATAATTTGGATAAGATTGAGTTATGTAAACGGAAGATACAAATGTTTTGGGAAAAAATAACAGAAATTTTGCCAACAGAGTAGTCATTCGTATTACTGTTTTGACACGCGTCTACACTATTAGTGTCAGAAGTATTTTTTTGAGCGAAATAAAAAGTAATGCAATAACGTAGCAGAGAACTTGGAATTGCAATATGTAACTACAGCTATTTCATATCAATAAGTCTATGAAGGCTGTGCAATTTTGAGATGTTTTTTTATTTGCGGTAGTTGACCTTTGCATGTGTAGCCAATCGTTCGGTCAATTTTCCATCAAACTACTATGTGAATCAATTAGGCTAAGACTGTGCAATTTTGAGATATTTTTATTACGGTAGGTTAAGTATATTCTATTTAATCACATAACGCTGTGATAACAGTAAGGTAGCAATAGCGATTGGAGTGAATGCAGGTCGATCACCGAATCATTCTACCGTCATGCAAGAAGAAAAAAAAAAATTGCAGAACGATCAAAAGTAGCGGCATCAATTGGTTTTAAATTGGATGAAGCATGATGGACCTTCTTGCACATAGCACAGAGTAAAATAAGCACTGCAAGACCAGTATCTTGGTAGCATACCAAGATTTAAAAAATGACAGTTATCTATTTCATCGATGTTCAACTTTGCAATGATCGAGCCACCCCAAGTAGGAATACTCGCTACAGCTGGCAGTAGTATGCACGGAAGGCAAATCAACGATCAAGAAGTAATGTCGAGCCTTTGAAGACAGTGATGCAGATTACTGTCTATGCATGTTCTGTAGTCAGGTGAAAAAAAAAACGCAATGCAAGAAATAGCGCCTACTACTGTCTGATTGACGATCATGAAGGTCAACCTAAAGCCAATAGAAACAAGATGACCAACATCACTCTTTCATTTGCCAGGGAAAACTGTTTTTTCCATAACGACTAAACCATTGATCTCCATTATCGATCAAAAGACTTTGATCAATATTGATAATGATGTATTAATCGTTACAACTTAATGGACGTCGATGAATTATTATCCCCAGTGGCTACTGTACTCTCCAATGCTCATGAACCAACGGTCCATGAGCAATCGGTGTCTACTCCTCCTGGTTTCTTTTCTTGCAAGTTCTCCTTGTGTTTTGTTGATGTGGAAGTGATCATGACCTTGTACTGTACAAGATAAGTTTGTACTTGTTGGACAAGAACAAAAAGAAAAAAACAAATCCAACATGTTGATCGGCTGCATCCACTTGTAAGTCGATGTATTGGCAGTCGACTTGGTGATGTATGATCTTGTCCATGGACTCCATGGACAAGATATTGCAATAGCAAAGTCATGAAGCGAGGAAAAAGCAAATGGTCAATGGATAAACGCTAGGCAAAAGTAGGAGGATAAGGTGTGCCCTCAATAATAACGGACGTTTTGTGGAAAGGGTGCCACCGTGTTGAAAAACACCTAGCAGCGTTTTTTCCCAACCGTAGGAAAACATCTGCAAAGGCCATTTTCAAATTGAAAAAGGGGCCTGTCCATTCTTTCAAGCTATCCCTCCATGCTACAAGATCGATTCTCTTTTTCAACCTTGAAACTAGGCGATAAACATCAAAGTCTTGCAGCGGAAAAACTTACTTACCACTCTCTAAAGTGAGTTGAGGCTTGCCGTCTGCTTCTGTGGCCATGGTTGTACGTTTGCTTTGCCAGGGGTGTTAATGATGCCCTTCCAAATGCATGCTGGGCACCTTTATAGTAGTGGACGGTCCAGGTCTAGGCGTTGGGATGTGGCCGCGCTGCCGTCAATACCAGTGCCCATACCACACATCCATTTCTATATGGTAGACTTTCTCATCCACAGTGATCTTTCAAGGCACTGAAAGCCACCAGTCAGGAGGTTAGCTCACCCTCTACCACAAAAGAGGTTCAGCATGTGGTACCGGGGGGGGGGGGAAAGTTAACCCTGGTGGTGCTGGAAGATCGATACTGTGTACAGTACGATACAACCCATCCTACCTGGCCGGTACAGTATGACACACTACCGTACCGCACCGACACCCAGTGGCCAGCCCACCGTGGACACTGTTGTTAACGACTGCGCATGCGATATGCGCAGGCCCAGTGTTGAATCAACAACGGTGGCTTCCTTTCGACAGCATTCTACTGCGCATAATCTACCACTGCACACTGCACACAGTACAGCGTGTTGATGTTAGCAATTGAAAGCAAAAAGTAACTGGGCGGGGAACATTTGCATGTTTGTCTTTCACAGAGGAGTTTTTTTTTTGGACTGCATACAATATGTATAGTAGCAGTGTGGATTTAGCCTTGACATTGAATAAAGTTTTAGATTTCATGTTTTTCCAAGTCTTCCATGCATTTTACAGTTTGCTACGCTGCACATCAAATCTATACGTAAAACAGTAAGTCCATTGACTACCGCAGAGTTGACAGTAAAGTAGACGGCCGACGTAGGCCGTAAAGTGTCTACAGAATCTAAAGTACATTAAGTCTTGCTCATAAGTAATAACACTTGCAAGTAAAAAGAGGTTCTTCCTGGTGATCCTAGCAAACTGTAGGTAGTTTGCAGTACTAATTTCAGCACGATAGTAAATGCCAGTACTGTAAAAGCAGTACAGTGTTGCTTTTTAAAAAACCCCCTAATATATAAGTAAGTTTGTACAGATTACATAAACAGTATTAGGAGTGATGAAACAAAATAGGGTTCTGTCAGGCGTTGCACAATCAAACTGTGACTGCTTCAAGATTATCTTTGCACAGGGTTTGCAACGTGATGTTATCTTACTGTTGTGTATTTTCGTGGGTTACTATACCAACATTAACCGAGTCTAAGATTCAGATATATGACACTTACTATGTTGTCAACTTGTGATTGATTGAGTAACATTTTGAAAGCTTTCTACGAGCGCATCATTAAAAGCATTGATGCTTATCATTTGCACAAAGGGAGAAACGAGAAATGTAGAACCAAACTAACATTATCAACGCTAGTAGCGAAATTGAATTATCATAGAAGCCATTCGATGCAACGTTTAGTGAAGGTTCAGTATGGACTTGGCGAGGAAGTGATATGTTTGCTGCAGAAGAAGAAAATGGTCAAGACGTACCTGCTGATCAGGACGTACTTGTCACAGTAGTGATAGATGAATTGTATCTGGACGGGCAAACATGTTGACCATTTGCAATTTCGATACATATTCGTGTGTTGATGTGAATAGCAGTCTGTGGTAGCACACCCATGCATGCGAGTTCAATTCAGTAAATTTCGATCATTTTGGATCAGATTGAATGAGTATTTGCCTATCTCTAATACACTAGCATTACCGAGCTCTTACCATAGAGGTCAACGAAAAGAAACCTCTTACCTCTGTGGTTATTACAATCGCAATCTAATGCAGTTATTGTGCATAGTACATCATACCCAATGTCCGATTTACTGTGCAATCTATATGATACCCACGCGATGTTTTATAAGCGTATACTTCATCAAATGTATTAATTTGTTGTGTAAAAATATTATTATTGTAGTTATTTTTAAGTGTATGGATATAATATAGTTGACTCTCTTCAAACCCTAATAGATACGTTGGGCAAGTAAAGATGGTTTAATCATGCTAATCGACTGCAGCACCCCCACCCCCCCCAATATTCCAACTTAGCGATGGCAACGATTTAACACCATTCCAATTGAGCATCAAAGTTAGTCAAAGTCAACATGGTATATATAATATAATAGGATACTGCCTGGCAGGATTGAGTTAAAATTTCCCTAAATTGAAATTAAATATTACCATGCTCATGATGCAAGATGCAATACGCCAACACTTATAGTACCAAATGCTTAAATACTGTAGACAGCAGTTTTATGACTGAACAACACTTGTACTTGTCACATCCTGATGCTCTTATGGACGCGTATACTAGTTTATTTATGAGGTTATATACTGTATCTTACAGAGACACCATAGTGCTTAATCTCTGTACTATCAGAGTATTATAGTATAGGATGATATCAGTTAATATTTGATAATCTTTACTGCAATGTTGTGATTGCATCAAGCACACAACATATTCCATTTATTAATTGCCCTTGATTAATCTTTAAACCGGTTTATCATTTTCCTCAAGTGTACAGTGCTAGAAGTGTTCTCATGAATAAAATTGTCTGCAGTGTTAAAGATTCGGTTGGAATCGTTTTCTTCGGTACAGTTAGTTTACAAATTAAGACCTCTGCTCATCCCTGATATTACATGTAGTTTTAATCTAGTCAAAGCATCTAATACTTCGTAGTTTACAAAGTAATTACAACTTCCTTTTAAGTAGCTAAAGCGAGATACCGAGATACTGCAATATTGTTGAATATAATTCACTGATAAAGACGACGCAACGCTACTGAATATATTGAATGTATACTATAATATACGGGTTAAGTTACGTAAACATAGATCATTTATATACTGTACGTATATTTTGCAGCCAAAGCTGATAATAGCTGGCCAGTTTCCTACTAGCACTTGCATATACTTGCAGTTGTATATAATATCGAGTAATTTTTCAACAGCTCCAATAATTATTGTTAATCAATGACGAGAATTTTTGTTAGGATTGCCATTCGTCAGATGCTTAGAGAGTTTTGTAAATAAGACACACTGTTAGCAAGTAATCATCTTATTTATCAGAAAATAATTTCCGTGGGAGTGTATGTGTGTACGATGAATGATAATTAAGCTCAATATACTGTGAGCCAAGTACTGCACTACTGTACAGCATGTTGTAAACGTGTAAACATCGTATATTGCATTAAAAGAGCACTTCTTTCGATTATAACTACGTACGGTATTGCGATACTATAGTATGTTAGACTATGTCGAGAGTAAATAATATTGGAGTTGAATAGTACATTTTGTGGCATCTGGTTATGGGGAAGAAGGTACCGATTTTGTATAAAAAATTATGGGCATAATGATGACATTTCCATGAATGATGCCTTATGGACTTGCTCTAACATGTTTTCTACGAGGTAATTACTCTCAGAATATCAAATACCGTAGTTATCAATTTTAATTTGTCATTCATGGGGATGATTGATCTTAATTGATTTTACGATATTGGGATAGAAATTGAATTAATGCATATTCAGTCAGCTAATAATATCTTCGATATTACTAAATTCTATCAGGCAGAAAATAACTCTTGCTCTGGTCTAAGTTATACCATTACAAAATTATTTACTGTTTTGATGGTATAGTGGGTTTTAGGATATTATTACAATTCCTGAAGATGAAGATGTTGGTGCTGTACCTGATGCTTCTGAAAGATTCGACGAGCTTTTGATCAGGTACAAAATTCGATCTCCAAAGACAATTATCAAAACTAAATCAATTACACGGTACGGTATAAAGTTACTGAACCTCTGTTAAATGAGCACATTATCGTAAACCGTCAGTAAAGCGACGGGAGTTTGCACTAGTATTTCATAATTGATATAGCGAAATTCTAACTATTTAGGGTCCAAGCTAAAGACCATAAGAAGCAATCACTATTGAAGATACCTCTTAATTTAGGGCAAGATTTGGAAGTAGGTGTGCAAATCATAACTGCTACAGTACAACCGTTGGTAGCAAGAACGCAAGTATTAAGACACTATATCATTAATTATTAATAATTATCTAAATTTTATTTACCAGCTTCAGTTTATACCGACCGACTTTTAGGCTGAGCTATGTTCAATTCGATTCTAAGACTAACCAAGCACATACTGTAAAATACAAAAACGACTAATACTCTACGATATATTATGATGCAAAGATCCAGACTCACGCTAAAGACTGCAATGTGTACCGAAGTGTTACACTACAATGCCTATATCTGTAACAAAATCAAGTCTTCTTGGTACGGAGTTAGAGGGCATACTGTACATGTTTATTCAAATACTCCAAAGTCTTGACATACTTATTTATCCACAACCTACACATTCGGATCAATGATCTCGCATTTGAAAATAATTCCAACTTAATAGATAAGCTTCGATACAGCTAGTAAATTAGTAGCAATATATTTCTAAATCATGCTGCGCCTTAAATTCGAAACCAATGTTGCTGCCTAGTTGGAGGCTTGTAGCATAAACTGTTAAGTTTTAATACTTGTAAATCATTCTATATTATATACAAACTACAATAATTCTATCTCAGCAAGCGAGTGGTTTGTCGACTACGTTCAGATGCAAGTATTTATTGCAGTGCTAGAGTTATTGATATAAAAAATTTCTATCCCATCAAATCGTAATGTAAAGTTCAATTTTTTAATATTTTATTAATCCAGATCTTTGTCTACTTATTCTATTTGGCAAAATAAGCGACCTTTAAATTAAAATCATACCATGCACGTACGATGTATAATTTCTTTAAACAAAGTCGATATGATCGCAATGCATCAAATTTAGCTTTATCAATTTAATTATATTGTCAAGCATTTATACAGTAGTCAACATGCGTATACTATACATCCTATAAATCCGTTGTATAGAACGACTATTTTGTGTCATGTTATGGGAGTAAAGTAGTTAAGTAGTAGTTATCGTAAAAGACTCGCTAATAATTATTGTCTAAATGATTTCAAATAAATATAATACAAAACACTGAAATAATCAGTTACTGCACAATTAGGTTATAATGATGTAGGGTTGTCATCAGGTTTTGAACAAGCCGGCGGTCCCGTGTAACCGGTTGTCTTCTTGACAACGTCTCGCTCAATTAATGAGTAGCCTAAATCAATTATTGCTTGACTAATATCTCGCGGTGGAACATTTAACACCTCCTTCATACGGGTGTTATCAAAGATAGTGGTAATATTCAAAAATGGTATAATTAATTTCAATGTCGGATCGAAAAGACTTGCAAGCCATAATACAAATTTAGGAGCGACCATGGTAGGAAATTTATAACCATAAGGACCAAATTCCCGTACATAAAGCAGCGAGATATCCTTATACCACATATTGGAATTGTAGATGATGTGACGCTGGCCAACAGCTTCAGGTACAATCATAGCTTTAAGATGAGCTGCTGCTACATCTCGAACATCACACAGTGGAAAGTTGAAGTTAGGTAATACCGGCATAGACCCATCGAATAATTTCAGTGCGGTTTGCATGGATAAAAATGGAGTATTATGTAGTACAGGCCCCACGGTAACACAAGGATTGATGGTGCAAAACTCAAATTTCTCATTATCGGAGCAGTTTTCTATAAATTCCCAAGCAGCTTTTTCAGCTAGCGTTTTACTCTTACAATAGGGCTCGGTAGTTTCAATATCGGCCCAATCCTTTTCATTATAGACTCGTCCATTCTCGCCGTTCATACCTCCTATAATTGCCCCGACAGTGCTTGTCATAACGACGCGTTTCACACATCCAGCTTTAGCACAAGCTTTAAGCACATTTAATGTACCGTTCACAGCAGGTTTAATGAGTTCTTCTTCTTCATTTCTAGGCTTCCCTAATGGGAGTGGCGATGCAACATGCATGACATACTTACAATCTTGGACAGCAGCGTGCCAAGTTTCTTCGACTAATAAGTCAGCTTCGATAAGTTGCAACGGAAACTTGGCATTAGGACAAAGCTCTTTTAACGGCTTTACTTTTTTCTCGTTCGTTAAACTTCGCACAGAACCGCGAACACGGTAACCTTGTTGTTGCAATTGCAGTACGACATGTGTGCAAAA